TGTGTGTGTGTGTGTGTGTGTGTGTGTGTGTGTGTGTGTGTGTGTGTAATTGTGCTAGTTATTTCATGGACTCACCAGGGACACTCAAAGACAAGGAAACACAATATTATCTCTCTAGAGCCACAGATGTCATACTGAAAGGGCTGAGATTGCCAAATATTTACTTAGCACATAATAATCAACAAATATTGATGATGAATGAACACTAGACTCCACTGGTAAACATAAGCAGCAGAGGGAGAACTTGAACTCAAGCCTATCAGATCCTACACTCTTGCACGCAGCCACCCCACACTCCACAGGCCACCACATGGAATCTAACAAGATAAGTGCAAAGCCCTAAACTACATCTAGAAACTGAATTGCATCTATTCAGAAGGGAAGAGACTTGGCATTTGTAGGTGGAGAAGCAGACAGTAGCCACCAGAGCCTAGCCGGAGCTCCAGGTCACAGTGGGAATGAGTGAGGAATCTTGAGACAGAAACCTTTAAGAAAAATGTATAGGAGAGACTTGTGAGTCGGTTGGTACAAGATCTGCTGTCTGAAAAGCAGAGAGGATCCTCTAATCTATTACTCCAAAAAGCAGAGGAGAAAGACAAATGAGAAAAAAAAAAAGCGTCTGTAAGAGATTTCTGACATTAAGGCTACTCGGCGATGGATGCTCTGCCCATCCATGAAGGAATTCCTTTTTCTTCTTCTTAATCCATGGAAGCCCTCTAGACGTAGCCTCCTACCGACCAGAGGACACCAACTGCCAGGAGATGCAGGCCGACTAGATGAATGTCTGTTAGAGTCGGTGCAGATGTCCTGGAGCTTGAAATGTCTTCTTTCCAGGTTCTCTGCCTACACTGAGATGGAGAGCTTTAGGTCTGCTTTCTGCCAGATTCCCTAACAGGTTCTGTAGAGCTTAGACACATGGGATTTTTCTTTTCTTTTCTTTTCTTTAAATCTTTGTAAAATTATATACATTACATCCCGACCACAGTTTCCCCTCCCTCCACTTCTCCCACTCCTACCTCTCCCCACCCCCATCCCCAGATCCACTCCTCTTCTGTTTCCCTTTAAAATATTTTTTTGTAAAAAGGCCATCCAGGATTATCTTATCAATTGAACGTGGCATAAAAATAAGACTAGGCACAAACCCTGTTACAAAATCAGATGAGGCAACCCAGTAGGAAGTAAAAGGTTCCACACACAGGCAAAAGAGTCAGAGACCTCCCACTCCCACTGACTACTAGGAGTCCCAGAAAAACCCCAAGTTACACAAACATAATGTATATGCAGAGGACCTAGGTGAAACCCATGGTTACCACTTCCGTCTTCGAGCTCCTGTGTACAAGCCTTGCTTAGTTGATTCTGTGAGCCATTATTCTCCTGGTATCTTCAACCTCTGGCTCCGAGAATCCTTCCTCCATCTCTTCTTCCAAGCTCCCCTGGCATCACCTAGTGTTTGGCTGTGGGTCTCTGCATCTGCTCCTATCAGTGGCTGTACGATGTCCCTCTGATGACAATTGGGCTAGGTGCCAATCTGTGAGTACAGCAGAATGCATTAGGAACCAGTTCAGTGCCTTCTTATTTCCAGTCATATCTACTTCTATCCCGAGTCCCTGGGCTGGCCAGCTTCTGGTTCTTGGCCATCTCCGCAGTATCCGGGGTGGGCTTCCTCTCTTGGTGTGGGCCTCAAGTCACACCAGTCTTTGGTTGGCTACTCCTACAAGTTCTGCACCACCCTCACCCCAGCACTTCCTGCAGGCAGGACGGGTTGTAGGTTGAAGGTTTTATGGCTGGGTGGGTGTCCCAGTTCTCACTGCTTGGAGACTTGCCTGATTATAGAAGATGGCCAGTTTTTATATATATATATATATATATATAAAACCAGTGGTCAGTGGAGGGCTGTTATTCTTGCATAGCTGTGATCAAAATACTTAAGAAAACAGATTGAAAAGGAAAGATCTGTTTTGTCTTATGGTTTCAAAGGTTCATTCTGTAGTTAATTTGGTTCCATTGGTCCTGGGCTATTGGTGAGCTGGAACATCATGGTTGCAGCAGATGGAGGAAAATGCTGTTTACATTGGTTAATAGGGAAGCAGACCCAGTATGGCCTTCAAAGGCACCCTCCAGTGGCTTGTGTTCTCTAAGTTGGACCCCACCTCGAGAGCCCCCACCCCTTCCCACCATCTGGCCATCCCTCTGCCTTAGGTTTCCAACCAGGGAATGACAGCTATGCACCACTGCGCCTGCCGCTTCAGATGGGCCGTGTCAGATGATCTTGCTCAACTGTGTGGGCACAGTTAGAACAGGCTAGGCTAAGCTGTGGTGCTCAGTTGGCTGGGAATATGTCTTCATTAGGGTTTTTGTTGCTGTGATAAAACAGCATGACCAACTTGGGGAGAGAAGAGTTTAGTTCATCTTACAGCTCTCGGGTCACATTCCATCCCTGAGGGAAAGTCGGGACAGGAATTCAAGGTAGGAACCTAGAGACAGGCACTGAAGCAGAGGCCACAGCATAATCCTGCTTACTGGCTTGCTCAGCTTGCTTTCTTTTACAACCCAACACCATCACCACAGTAGTGACACTGCCCCCAGTGAGCTGGCTCCTCCCACATCAATCACCAATCAAGAAAATGACCCACAGGCCAATCTGGAGGGGGCATTTTCTCAGTTGGGGTTCCCTCTTTCCGAAAGACTCTAGGTCGTGTCAATTTGACAAAAACCAGTCAGCATAGTGTATTAAGTGCATTCTTAAATTTGTGATGGGTTTATTGGGACATAGTCTCCATTGTAAATGAAGGGAATGGTATCATGTTTCTGTTGATGGGTTGTTGCAGTATTCTTCTCTAATAACTGCCCTATAGTTGAGTTCACTGACAAGGTTTGGGACATTGAAACAAGGAGTACTTGGAATATCACAGTGATGAAAGGTTGACTGACGTAAGAGCCTGAGAACTATAACAATGTGCCCTGCACTAAGCCAAACATAAAGCCTGTCTTCGCAGGCCCTCTCTCTAGAGTACATAGACAGGAGCCCCATGACTGCAGGACTGAAATGAACCCACTTAGGATGCAGCACATGCCATTTACTGTCCTATGTGTTTTGCCCTCTTAGATTTCCTACACCATCAACCATACTGGCACGATGACGACTGTCCAAAATAATAAAGAAGTTGAAAACGCATCCATGGAGCTTGAAGACAAATGGCATCAGAGAGCAAAACAGCTTAAGGTCACCTGCTAGATTGTGTGCTAAGTGTGCTTCAAGTAATACTGCTGGATATAAGTAATGTTTGTCACCGAGTTCTTGTTATTTAAGGGTTATATGATGCCTAGAATACTTACCTACCTGTGCTGAAGACTGCCTTCTGCCCAGGAGAGCCATAGTTCCATGCTTGCTCCGCCAGCAACTCTAACTGCTTTTGAAAGGTCCCCTTTCCAGAACACCATCATTTTACACTCCAGAGACAAGACCTCTCACAGAAGGAAGGGATGGGGGGTGCAGAGGGAAAATAATGTTTTCATTGAGAGCTAATGGCTACCCAGGCAACCCAGGTAAAACTGTTCCTGAAGCTAGATGGGATCCCTCTCAGAGAGAATGTGCAAACTAACCAACTGGTATCTTAGTATGATGGCATCTTTCTTGTCCATTAGCACTCATGAGTGTAGTCGGGGGATGGGTAATTATCCCACAATTTCTAGAAGAAATAGAAAAGTCATTAGCAGCTGATCTTTTCCTGAGTCAGTGCATGGAATTATATGGAGTCGTTCTTGGAACAGGTTCCATCCCTGTTTAAGAAAGGATGAGCATGGAGATATACCTTTAATTCCAGCATTCCGGCATTCAGAGGCAGGCATATCTGTTAGTCTGAGGTCAAGCTGGTCTACATAGCAAGTTCCAGTCCAGTCAGTGCTACACAGTGAGACCTTGCCTCAAGGGAGTTGGGTGGGGTGGTGAGCCTTTTGAAATTGCCGAGCCTAAGGAGCCTGTTAACATCACCAGTTAAATTCATACATGAAGCAACTGTAAAGTTAAGAACATTAAAGTTCCTCCAGGCATCAGAGAAGTTAGAAAAGACAGACATCCTGAACCCTCTCTTGTCTTCACTGGGTCTCCAGGCTGCCAATAGGAAATAAGTGAACAAATCAACAGTCACTCACCCAGAGCTTCCTGAAAGCTGACATCAGGAGACCACAACAAAAAGCTGAAAAGCTGGGGACTGATGCGTCTCCTGGCAGTGGGGCATGGAGGACAGGATTAACTAGTCCACCTGATAGAGAGCTTTGGGTCACCATGATTTTTATGTCAGATCCCCATGCCTTCTTAGGATCTTTACTTTCTGCTTAGGCCTTACATATGGACCTTTCCTCAGACCGTATTGGCCTATAGCGTCCTGTGCTCACCTGTGGGTCCTCACAGGTTTCTGAGGTCCCATTTCATTGTTGTGCCCAAACTGAAGACATTGGTTCCCTAGAGGTAATGCAATATGGCCCTGGCCAGAAGACCTTCCAGGTGCCCTAAGGGTTAAATAAAATCTTCCCAGACCCAGAACAAGACCAGCAGCGATGGCAGCAGGAAACAGCACATGGCTTCCATCACTAGTCACCATCAGGAGCCATCACTAGTCACCATCAAACCCTTTTCCCATCTTTCCAAAGAGCCTTGCCTTTGCTCTGGTCAACACCAGCAGTGGATCTGCATTGCTTCTGTTTACCCAGCCTGAGTCTTTCTTTGCTGACAGTGAGGGACTTCCTTAATAATTTTCAATGGATGTTTCTTAATAATATTAGATAGGTGCTGGAGAGATGGCTCAGTGGTTAAGAACCCTTCCTGGCTGCTCTTCCAGAGGACCTGGGTTCAATTCCCAGAACCCACATGATGGCTCACAATCATTTGTAATTCCAGTCCCAGGGATCCAAAATCCTCTTCTGGCCTCCACAGACAGCACACACACACATACTTGGTGCACAGACATACACGCAGACAAAACTCACATATACATAAAATACTATTAGAGAAATTTTAGAACCTAAGCTCACCTTTTATCCTGAATGCACACAGAAGATAAACGGAACACAACAGAAAGTTCCCTGGGCCAGAGGTAATCTTAGAGCCCAGGGAAGAACTGTCAGGACCCCAGGGCCCAGTCAGGGCAGCTAAGGGCAACAGTGGCCTTGATATTGGAGGAGATGGGGTAAGGATGTGCCTTCTGCTTTCTGCTTATGACACATGAGCAGGCAAGCCCCAGGTCAGAAGCAGCCAGCCAGTGCCTTCTTTGGGGCTAGAGTGACGGCACAGTGTGGGTGGACGCTGGTGACTAAGGATGAGTCTCCCTGCAACACTCTCATCTCAGCTTTAGGCGTGGAGATTTCCCAGCGCTGACACTCCACATGTGACATGAAAACCTACTACCATTAAGCCGTTAGTTTGAGTGCATGGAGGGTACACCAATTGCCAGCGAGCGTAACAAAAGAATCCCAGTGAGAACAGAATGAAATCTCGGATTTCCTAGCTGATGGAGATTAAATAGGCTGAGAATGGCTTTGTATATTAACTTCAGGGAACTCAGGTCTCACCACCTAAAGAGTGACACCTGATGCCTCAATTGTAGGGTAATAAATCTCCAGCCAGCAGCAGATCTCGAGTAGGCTACTTGGAAGGCGAGAGAAATCATATCAAGTCCGCAAATGTCTTCCTTTCTGAGGACTGAAATGCCATCTCTAGGCACTTATGTCTATGTGAATAGAGGATTTAACACTTGAGACAATTCAAGTTTTGTAAAATGATGAGCCTTTGGCCTTTATTGACAAAGCACCCTATGAGGAGGGCTGCTGTGATCTGAATCGTCAGCTACAGAGGTGACAACATGGCTAGAGTCAAGCAGCTTCCCAGAAAAGGAATCTCTCCTGGGGTTCTTCTCTTTTGTTGTTGTTGGAATAAAGAGAGAAAACTGGGGAAATGTAAGTCAGGTGATGACAGAAAGACCATCTAGTTAGTCCTCCTTCCCCCCAGGGAGCTGGACAAATGTTGAAAAGAACGCCATGGTTGGTCAGTATTAATAAGAGTTTTTAGATGATAGCAAAAAGAGGCTATCATGACCTTTCCTAACATGACAGCATGAAAAGAGCCACTGTGCTTCAGAAACACTCCTGTCAGGTTAAAAAACAGCAATTTCTGGGCCAGCACGATGGCTCAGCAAGCAGAGGTGCTCGCCACCAAGCCTGACCATATGACTTATATCCCGGCGACCCACATGGCAGAAGGTGAGAACTGATGTGCACACAAATAAGTGAATGTAAAAATTAAAATTAAAATTAAAAATTAAAAATTCAGGTAACAATCTCGGGGGGCCACAATAAGGGAGAACATGGTTGGGGCCAAGTATCGGAACAGTCTTTTTACCCATGCTTCCCCTTAAACTTGATAAACCGTGTGGAAGAAAACATTTTCCTTACCTGGATGCATAAGGGAGGGTTTTTGTTTGTTGTTTGTTGTCAGTTTTCTAAGGCGGGGGAGCACTGCAGATGAAAAATAAAAATTTCACAGAGCCAATGAGAGCCTGATCAGTCCTCAAATGGCTCAGATTCCAAAGAAAACGTGCTACATTTCGAATAGAAGTCATTCTTTACAAATCCATACTTAAAAATCTGACATTACAGGTGATACTGTATATTACTGTTGTAAATTTAAGTCTTGTCCTTAGCGTCCTGATGGGGTTTTATGAGAAACAGGGAGCATGACTATCATTTGGTAACATGCAGCAGCTCGTGCTGTCAGCCTTGCCGATTGTATCGGGGAAGCGAAATAAAAACGAAAAACCGCATCCTCATGATATGATCTTTCTTCCCAAAGAGATCATAAACAAATCAAATCTGAACAAGAAAAAAAAGCATGCTTTGCCAAGTTTGAGTATTTTCATTGGCCTCCAGTGAGCCACCTAATGGTTGCATTTTCTTTTTAATTAACGTTACATAGATGCGGGTCGTGATGACTTCTTTTTACATGGGAGTCCTGAAAGGGACAAAGAGGTTGCAGTTATATAACACATCGGTGCACATGGTCATCTTACTGTTTCAATAAGCAGTTAATCATTCCATCCAAAGGCCTCTTTACTCCACTCAGTTTCCACAAAGTAATGAGTGCTCTATTCCTTGGGAAATACTCTTAAATGGCTGCATACACAATACAGTTACACAGTGTATCTATTGTACTGGGAGTACATTTTGTTGTTAGTGGACTTAGAAAAGCATCAAGTCCGTTCTGAGATTGAAGTCCCTTTCCCCAGATGTTTGATTGCCTAAGTGCAGGCTATATTAAGCAACAGAAAGCAAAACAACTCTTGTGGTTTCACGGAGGCCCTATCACAGCTCTGCCTCTTTCATAGCCCTCTGAATAAGATCTAATTTGTTTCATCTGGTGAAGAGGTCATTTCTAGCTGCTGACCTGTGTGCGTACGCACAGCTGATGATCTGAACTGTGTCTCATATTGAACTTGGACTTGGTTGGCTCCAACAAACCGCTGATGTCTTCTGGGTGAGATTTTGGAAATACTCATTTAGTTTAAACAAGCCTGCACTCGCCATACAGATGTCTGTTCTTTCTCTGTGCATCTCTTTGGAGGTAAAGCTTCTCTCCATACAGCTCTCCGTTTGGTGACACCTCCCCCACTTAGCTGGCCAGTCAGAGAGCTAACTCTGAGGCTGTTTTAAGCTCTCGAGATCTTTCTGGGCTCACAATCTATCATTTCCTTGACCACTCACCCTCTAGTTGCCTGCAGTTAGGAGAGGACTCTCTCTACTCCCTCCATGGTCACCTTCCTACAAGTTTCAACCCCTGTTTTAGTTTTTATCTAATTTTATTTATATATTTATTTATTACAATTTATTAACTTTATATCCCCGCTGTAGCCCCTTCCCTCTTCTCTGTCCCACCTACCCTCCCTCTTCTCCTCCTATGCCCTTTCACTAGTCCCCGGATAGGGGAGGACCTCCTCCCCTTCCTTCTGACCCTAGCTTATCAGGTCTCATCAAGGCTGGCTGCATCATCTTCCTCTATGGCCTAGCAAAGCTGCACACACACACACACACACACACACACACGGGGGAAGTGATCAAAGAGCTGGCCACTGAGTTCATGTCAGAGACAGTCCCTGTACCCCTTACTGGGGAACCCACTTGGATACTGAGCAGCCAATGGGCTTCCTTTGAACAGGGGGTCTAGGTTCTCTCCATGCATGGTCCTTAGTTGGAGTATTAGTCTCTGCAGGACCCCCTTAGGCCCAGGTATTTCGGCTCTGTTGTTCTCCTTATGGAGTTCCTGTCCCCTCCAGGTCTTTCTATCTCCCTCTTCTTCCATAAGGTTTCCTGCACTCCGCCCAAAGTTTGGCTATGAGTCTCAGTATCTCCTTCAATACCCTGGAGGGCAGAGTCTTTCAGAGATCCTTTGTTGAAGGCTTCAGTCCTGTTCCTTGTCTTCTCCTACTTCTGATGTCTATCCTGTTTGCCCTTCTGAATGAGGATTAAGCATCTTCCCTAGGGTCCTCCTTGTTGTTTAGCTTCTTTAGGACTATAGATTTTAGTATGTTTATCCTATAATATTTGGCTAATATCCACTTATAAGTGAGTATATATCATATGTGTCTTTCTGCTTCTGGGTTACCTCACTCAGGATGATCTTTTCTAGTTCCCACCATTTGCTGCAAATTTCATGATTTTCTTGTTTTTAATTGCCGAGTAGTATTCCATTGTGTAAATGTACCACAATATCCATTCTTCAGTTGAGAGACATCTGAATTGTTTCCAGATTCTGGCTATTATGAATAAAGCTGCTACAAACATGGTTGAGCAAATGTCCTTGTTTTATACTTGTGCATCTTTTGGATATATGCCTAGGAGTGGTATAGCTGGATCTTGAGGTAGCACTATTTCTAATTTTCTGAGAAAGTGCCAGATTGATTTACAAAATGGTGTACAAGTTTACATTCCCACCAGCAATGAAGGCAGAATCCCCTTTATCCACATTCTCTCCAGCCTGTGTTGTCACTTGAGTTTTTGATCTTGGCCATTCTGATGGGTGTGAGGTGAGATCTCAGTGTCATTTTGATTTGCATTTCCCTGATGGTTAATGATGTTGAGCATTTCTTTAATTGTTTCTCTGCCATTCGATATCCTCTATTGAGAATTCTCTGTTTAGCTCTGTACCCCATTTTTTAATTAGATTACTTGATTTGTTGCTGTTTAACTTCTGGAGTTCTTTATATATTCCGGATATTAGCCCTCTGTCAGATATAGGCTTGGTGAAGATCCTTTCCCAGTCTGTAGGTTGTCGTTTTGTTCTGACGACAGTGTCCTTTGCTTTACAGAAGTGTTTCAGTTTCATAAGGTCCCATTTATTGATTGTTGATCTTAGAGCCTGTGCTGTTGGTGTTCTGTTCTGGAAGTTGTCTCTTGTACCAATGAGTTCTAGGGTATTCCTCACTTTTTGTTCTAACCGATTTAATGTGTCTGGTTTTATATTGAGGTCTTTGATCCACTTGGACTTCAGTTTTGTGCAGGGTGATAAGTATGGATCTATTTGTATTTTTCTACATGTAGACATCCAGTTAGACCAGCACCATTTGTTGAAGATGCTATCTTTTTTCCATTGTATGGTTTTGGCATCTTTGTCCAAAATCAGGTATCCATAGGTGTGTAGGTTTATTTCTGGGTCTCTATTCAATTCCATTGATCTACCAATCTGTTTCTATGCCAGTACTATATAGTTTTTATTACTGTTGCTCTATAGTACAGCTTGAGATCAGGGGTGGTGATACCTCCAGAAAATCTTTTAGTGTAGAGGATTGTTTTAGCTATTCTGGGTTTCTTGTTATTCCATATGAAGCTGAGAATTTTTCTTTCAAGATCTATAAATAATTGTGTTAGTAATTTGATGAGAATTGCATTGAATCTGTAGATTGCTTTTGGTAAGATGGCCATTTTTACTATGTTAATCCTGCCGAGCTATGAGCATGGGAGATCTTTCCATCATCTGATATCTTCTTCTATTTCTTTCTTCAGAGACTTACAGGTTTTTTTATACAAGTCTTTGATTTACTTGGTTAGAGTTACACCAAGGTACTTTATGTCTTTTGTGTCTATTGTGACCCGTGTTGTTTCCCTAGTTTCTTTCTCAGCCCATTCGTCTACTGATTTTTTGTGTTAATTTTGTATCTAGCCACTTTGCTGAAGGTATTTATCAGCTGTAGGAGTTCCCTAGTAGAATTTTTGGGGTCACTCATGTATACTATTATATCATCTGCAAATAGTAATACTTTGACTTCACCTTTCCGATTTGAATCCCCTTGATCTTCTTTAATTGTTTATTGCTCTAGCAAGGACTTCAAGAACTATGTTGAAGAGAAATGGAGAGAGTGGGCAGGCTTGCCTTGTCCCTGATCTCAGTGGGATTGATTTACATTTCTCTCTGTTTAGTTTGATGTTGGCTATAGGCTTGCTGTATATTGCCTTTACTATGTTTAGGTAAGTGTTTTATATCCCTGATCTCTCCATTGTCGGATTTTATCAAATGCTTTTTCAGCATCTAAAGAGATGGTCATTTGTGGTTTTTTTTTCTTTCAGTTTGTTTATATGGTGGATTACATTGATGGATTTCCGTATATTGAACCATCCCTGCATGCCTGGGATAAAGTCTACTTGGTCATGTTGGATTATATCTTTGATGTGTTCTTGGATTTGATTTGCAAGTATTTTATTGAGTATTTTTGCATCAATGTTCATAAGGGAGATTGGCCTGAAATTCTCTTTCTTTGTTGGGTCTTTGTGAGGTTTAGGTATCAAGGTGACTGTGGCTTCATAGAAATAATTTGGTAATGTTCCTTCTGTTTCTATTTTGTGGAATAGTTTCAAGAGTATTGGTGTTAGCTGTTCTTTGATGGTCTGGTAGAATTCTGTGCTGAAACCATCTGGCCCTGGGCTTTTTTTGGATGGGAGACTTTTGATGACAGCTTCTATTTCCTTAGGGGATATGGGACTATTTAATTTATTTACCTAGTCTTGATTCAGCTTTGGTAAGTGGAATTGACCAAGAAAATTGTTCATTTCATTTAGATTTTCAAATTTTGTGGCATATAGGCTTTTGAAGTAAGACCTTATGATTGCTTGGATTTCCTCAGTTGTCTGTTGTTATGTCCCCCTTTTCATCTCTGGTTTTTCAAACCCTGTTTAAAAAAAAATAATTGAAAATTTGTGAAGAGTACTCATATGGTGATATTGCCTTAACTATAATATCTTTTTTAGAATTACCAAGAACATTTGTCTCAGTATGAAGATACAAGATCAGGCAATGTCCCAAGAGGTCAGTCTTCTGATGCAGCCAATGGCCATCAACCTTCCAAAAGAACAGCCAAAGACAGGGGTCGGAAACAGAGGAAACACCAGAATGGCCTGAAATCTCTTGGGACCAAAGAGCTTGTCATTAGTCAAAAAAATCAGAATAACACTCTCCAGCAACCACAAGACCAAAGGCAGACTATGGGTGCTTCAGCGAAGTATGAGCCGGCTGCACATATGAACGCTTTTAACACCAATTTACAGGACTCCAAAATGCTCACCCACAGTCCTAAGATCACCCTGGACACATTTGTTCCACCCAAGATGGCTTTTGACAAAGCATTGTATAAAAACTCTGTCTCAGGGATGAACACAAATAAAAAAAGCAAACATAGACAGAAAGAAAAGAAAAGATTTTTGTATCAGCAGGAACCCATCTACATGCTTTCTGATATGGATCTGCATGATTTTAATGAACTTTCTTCCAGACACATGTTGCTGAGCCAGAAAGGCCCTCAGTCTGATTATGACAAGAACACACACAGGACAACGAAGACCAAGAAGCCATCCAAACAGCCACAGGCAGAGACAAAATATAAGAACATAGAGATGCTCTGGTGAGAACTCTCTTTAAAATTTTTAAATTTTTTATTCATTTTTTTAATGTGCATGTGTTTGTGTGTGTGCAAATGTGCATGTGAATACACACACACACACACACACACACACACACACGGGAAAGAGGGGGTGAGAAAGAGAGAGCGCTCTAGCTTTGTCGAGCATGTATGGAGGTCAGAGGACAATGGGTGGAACTGGGGGTTGCCTAAGGGTGATTAGGGCTTGCATAAGCACTTTTACCACAGAGCCATCACAGATGCCTGGAATTTCCTGATCTTGAGTGGTGTCTCCTGAGTAGAAACATGAGGCTTGTAGAGAAAGAAAAGAGAAGGGGAAGTCACCACAGGGGCGTCCCTGAGTGGGTGGGGCTAGAAGAAAAAGCTGACTAACTCCTCCCCTGCCTCCAATTCCTGCCTGATTTCTGTGTCTTCCTTCTTCACTTCCCCGGTCTCCTTTATGGTTTCCACAGTAGTGAAACTAGAAGTTGGAGCAAGGGGAGGGCACAGGGACCCAGCCAAAGTAAATTACCATGCAGATTTGAGTAATGATGGGGGGAGGGGGAAGTTATCTTCAGCCTGGAGTGGCCTAGCCTAGAGAGCTATGTAGGCACAGAAATACCATCACTTATAGAAATGGCCTAAAAATCCAATGGTAGGGAAACTGTGGTATTTAGTCCCTTGTGACCATTAATAGGTATGCCTCTGAGGAAATGCTCCTGTAAAAAGAAGGTAATGAGGTACAGGGCTACCCCCAAGGACTATGAACTCTACTGACCTAATGTGAACATGGGAAGAAAGACCACCTAATTGAGGAGTGATGGTTATCTCTGGCTTAGCAGTGAAGAGCACTGGCTGCTCCTCCGCATGACCCAGCACCCACATACTGGCTCACAACCGTCTGCAGCTCCAGTTCCAGAAGGTGTGATGCTCTGTTGTCAAGGCACCAAGCTTACATGTGGTGAACAAACATACATGTAGGCAAAACATCCAGACACATAAAAATTGCTGGGGATGGTGGTGCAAGACTTTAATTCTAAACTCAAGAAGCAGAGGCAGACATGTCTCTAGGAGTTCAAGGAAGGCCAATCTGGTTTACATAGCAGGTTCCAGGCCAGCCAAGGCTATGTAGTAAGATCCTGCCATAAATGAATAAATGAATGAATGGATGGATGAATAGATGGATGGATGAACAAATGAAGGAAACTTAAATTTTAAAAATCTTTAAAAGAAATAGTGGCTATCTCTGGCAAGATAAAAATCAAGGTTATTTTTTAATTCTTTCTTTAGAGTTAGAATTGTTCAAGTTTCTATTACTTGTATAAACAAGGGGGAAAAGTTATTTTTAAGTCATTTCAGGAGACTGTTCCTGGTGCTCCTTAACCAAACATGTTTTCTGAACACTTGACCTGTCATGACATTGTTGCTAATATGCAGTCTGGTACATGGGGTGCCTTTGAGGGGCTTGTTTTCAAAACGGAATGGGGAAGCAACTTTCCATATTACGTCAGAAGAGAGCTACATCAGATAGTCTGGGATACACATTTGCTAAGATTCTTTGTCCGCTTCCCAAAGAGATGGCGACGGCTGGTAAGCACATTTGTAGTCTTTTCTCTGGGGTCAGGGGAATGACTTTTAACCCTTTTGTCATTATAAATAATATTTAAGTTGGGTGTGGTTGTGTGTACCCCTATAAAATCTCCCCCCCCCCAGGAGGTTGAGGATGAAAGATACTGAGTTCAAGGACAGCCTAGGCTGCATAGCGGGAACCTGACTGAAAACAGGTACGTCACGCAAGCCTAGTGACTGGACCTCCGCACATGCACTGTAACTCGTGTCTGAACGCCATCACTCACAAGAACATATATTCATACAACATGCATACACTGGCGCACACACAGGCGCACAACCACGGGCGTATACACGACAATAAAAATAAATTATTTTAGCCAGGTGTGGCGCTGCACACCTTGAACCCCAGCACTTAGGGAGGCAGAGGCAGGAAGATTGCTGTGAGCTTGAGGCTAGCCTAGCCTAAAAAGTGAGTCCAGGAGAGCCAGGACTACACAGAGAAACCCTGTCTTGAAAAATCAAAAAACCAAACTATAAATAAATAAATAAATAAATAAATAAATAAATAAATAAATAAATAAATTTATTTTAGTTTTTAGTAGATAAATATTAAAAAAAATTCATTCCTGTTCCTATTTTCCTTTGCAGAGAAATTTTGTTATAAATGTGCTTGAAGCCTAACCAGATATGGGACATTAATCCTATAATGTAATGAAATATATTCACAGGCTATTTACCATGATGCCGTCCTTTGGTCCCTAAGATTAACCCAGCTTGTGGTATTAGTCTTCTGTTTGTTGTTTCGTGATACTGATGATGGAACCCAGAGCCTTGCACACTTAGACAGGGACTCTCCTACCGCATGCTTTATCTCCCAGCCCATCATACTGGATTTTTAATAGATTGTTCAATTTATTTGTTTAAGATTTAATGACTTTCATATGTATGAAGGAAAATAGGCCTATATCTTTCCTATCTCCTGCTGGCCGCATCCAGATGTGTTATCAATCTGCTACCAAACCATGGGTGGTGGCCCAGGTCTGCAATCCTAGTACTGGGAAATAGAAGCAGAAGAATCAGGAGTTAAGTTACATTTGAGTTCCTGGCCTGACTGGTCACACTGGGCTGTAGGAGGAAGGGGGACCTGAACGTTTGGGGAGAATGGCAGATTTATAGATAAGTTGAAGACTGCACTCTCTTTTATATTCCCAGGACAGGTGATCCGCACTTGTTCCATAAAAGTTTGGTGGAATTCTCCTGTGAAACTGTTTGGATCAAGGTTGTTTCGTCTGGCCTTGTTTTTGTTTTTGTTGTCTGTGATTTAAACCCCCTGTTTGTTGTTGTAATGACATTTAGTTTTTACAGTTTTCCTATCTCACCTTCAGTCAGTCTGATGAATTGCATTTTCTAAAAATATTTAACACGTTTCCTGTGTAAAGTGTTCATATCATTTGTTCATATTATTTGAGATCTTGTATATCTGTAGGCAGGTGCTAATTTTCTCTTCGGCTGTTACTTTTTCCTCCTTTTGGGTGGTTAGGGGGATAGAGTTTTACTATGCAGCCACAGCTAGGGTCTAATAGTCAGTGTGTTGCCCAGGCTGCCTCTAAACTCATGGCAACCTCCTGGCTCAGCTTCCCAAGTGCTGGGATCGCGGGCATGCACCAGCCGTACCTAGCTAACATGGCTTAACAGTTTTTTGCTGGCAGGAAAGACTGCTGCATAGCCAGCCTGAGGACACCTTGGCCTTTCTCTGGACTGGATTTTACTTTTGACATCTCACCCTTTCCTTGTTTTGTTGAACTCATCTCCGGTGTTTTTCTTTGAACAAGAAGCATGGTGCAATGGCAGAGGCAGGTGTTTCTCAGCCTGTGGTGTCTCTATGGCAAGACCCATCCTACCATGAGGATGCCCCTTACCTCACCACAGCTTCCCTTCGCCTTTCCCCATCCCTCCTTCTCCTTCGTGCTTTCCCTTCTCATTCTAGGAGATAACTCTGCCCACTGCCTGGAAGCCGAGCATTCTGGGGCCTGCCTTGTCTTTCTTCCCCTCTCTCTGAACTAAGATAGCTGGCAGAATTCTAGGTGGGAAATCACTTAACCTCAGAATCATCTTCTTCCTTCCACTGTGACATTTGCAAAACATGAAGCCACCTGATTCCAGATCCGTCTCACAGGGCTGTTCATTTTTTTTTTCTCCAGAAGCTGTAAAATCACTGTTTTTATAGATTTGCCCCAACTCCTTTAAACCTGGAGAGTTGCCATTCTGGGAAAAACAAAGAAGGGTCTCATGGATCACCTCTTCCCATTACCTCCACCTTGTCTATCTGTGCTTTCTAGTAGCGTGCCTTCCTTAGACGCATCCTTCTGCATTGTTCCTGGACTCTCGGGAGCACTGTGTCGGCTGCCGTCCACCCTCCCCACTGCTCTCATGCTTTTTACCTTACCTTTGCCTCTCCTACTGTCTTCTGACACGCCTCTTACTCTCTGACTGGGGAAGCAGCATCCTACATTCTCAACAAGGGAAATGGCCTTTCAGTTTTGGTTGGTACTAGTGGGGTTTTGTTTCTTTGTTTTGTTTTGTTTTGTTTTGTTTTTTCTCTCTCGTCGGATGTTTTGCATCTACATTATGCCTGGTCTCACTTGTCTGACAATCTGAAAAATCTTATTGGGAGCTGAGTGACAGGCCTGTGGACACTGGATTTCTGTGAGGTGGTCAGTCTTGACCACTTGATGGAAGGCTCCTCATGCCAGTTCTGAGTCTTTTTACAGGTGGCCTGATTAATTTCTGTCCCTAATACTTAACAGGTATAAGATTATTTTTCTTTCTTCAGAAACACATTCTCAAAGGTATGGAGCTTCAGAAAGGACAGCTGCTTCCCAACATGGAGCAAATCCCAAGATTCGCTTGGTGGTTTGTTTGTGCCTGGCATGCAGTTCACCAAGTGAGCTATATCCCAGCCTGCCTGTATTAACTCTTAAAACTTAAATCCTTTACCCAAAAGTCAGACACACATACACACACACACACACACACACACACACACACACACAAAAGCCATATCTCTAACTAGTCCAGAATCTACTTTGGCTTTCATTCCATTTTTTTTTTTTTCCATCCCAGGAGATTCCCAAAATCTCTGGCATTCAACTATGTATTTAAAGAACACTTGTTTAATTTAATACATCATTTCTGGCTGTTGTGCAATGGGAAGGTCTTTGGTTTCCAAAATGGTGTTTTGGTTTTTGCTGTGTTTTGTTTGTTTGCTTGCTCATTACACTATGCTTCATGTATTAACTGAAAGTTCTTAATGAGACTTTCCTGTTAGGGGCTGGAGAGTTGGCTCAGCAGCTAAGAGTAGAATACTATTTCAGAGGACCTGAGTTTGGTTCCTAGCACTCATGTGAGACACCTGTGACTCCAGGTATGGGGATCTGACACTCTCTTCTGGACTCCAAAGGCACCTGCACACACCTGCACACACATAGAGAGACACAGAAATAAATGAAATGTTTTCAAAAAGGTGTTGGAATGTCCCAGAGGGAAAAAAAAAAAAAAGGAAAATTTGAGGATAAGAAATCCATGAAAAGATGAATGGTTCCTAAAGACTTCTACATAGAAAGCAGTGCTGTGGATTCAAGTTTTATTTAAAAACACTTGTGTTCTCTCCAAAGGAAATTGCACTCCTCCTCAGACATGGAGCCTGCTAGAGCCTCTCCAGACTCCCGGCTTGCCCAGATCATGGAGCAGCACCAGCAAGCCTTGGTGCAGCTGGCAGAGGTGCAGCCCAGCGAGGGTTCCTTGGCCAGCACCACACTCCCACCCATCCTGTCCAGGGTAGAAAGCGAATCCCAGCTCGATTCAGAGAGAGGCCACAGCCACCAGACGAAGATGGCTCGCAGTAATTCCGAAGGCTACCTGCTTCAGCTGGAAAGACGGAAAAAACACAGGAAGCGAAGCAGCACAAAGGTGATACAGCTTGGTTGTTTATCCACGAACCTTTTTAATTTTGATGACACAAATTGGCCCGGAATAGGGCTGGCCATTACATAGCTTCTCACAAAAAGAGGTGGTCTAGCAACCAACCCCCCACCCACCATCCAGCTCTTGCTAATCCTTGATTTTCCCCTCTCTGCCTTTCTAGAAGTTTCTGTTGCCAAGGATGCCTACTTCCACTTCCTTTTCCAGTCATCTCAGGCAGTAATAATCCTGCCTTTATCCTCAGTTTAACCTACATCACTTTTCCTCACCCAAACCCCTCTCCTAAGCTGAGTCTCATATTCTTCATATCTGAAAAGTGAAAGTAAGGCTGAGTGAGTGAAAGACACGTTGCCAGAGGTTCTGTAAGAGGACAGGCTGAACGAGCAGAGAAGCGAGGAGTGAGCCAGTGAGCAGCCCCCCTCTGGAGTAACAGAGACACTAGGAGATGGGGCTGGACCAAGGACTTTGGGATGTCTAAATCTACCCGCTTCCTCCCAACCCAGCTGCTGGGAACTCAGTTCAAAAGCTGTTGTTTTGAACAGCAGGAATGTTTTCTTCCGAGAAGCTGTGTTTGTCTAAAATTTTGTCACTGTCCACTCCTAGTTCCTCAGCACCAGAGATTCCTCTTGGTACATATCCCATCTCAGCTCCACAGCAAAACATCCAGGCCTGTCAGTGGTCTGAGTTGCTCTCCATCGTGGCAGCTGGTTTTTACTGAATTCTTTATCTAGGGTTGGGGTCAAAAGGTGGTCAGTACTTTTGTGCAATTCAATCTCTTTATTTACTTATTTATTTTAAATTCTCAGGAAGATCACTTGCTTCAGGGTGGAATACTGTTCTCGTTTTTCGTTACTATAATAAAATACAAGAGGCAGGTTATTTTATGAAGAAGTTGATTTAGCTCACGGTTCTGAGGCATGGAAAATGTGCCTATTCGCTTTGCACTGGAAGGCCCCACTTCCACTGAGTTTCAGGAATCACTGGTCTCTTCTTTTCCCAGAGAAGCATCCTTACATGGCTGCTGGGCTCACATCAGACTGGGAAGTGGACATTATATGCATTATTTCCATGGAGATATGCCGTCAGCCTTTGCACCCACCGCTTTCTGTCAGTGTGGAGACTGCCCGCTCACTCCAGAGCTTAGATGTCACAAAGGCTTGAGAATTAGACAAACACAACCTCTTGGAAGAGAACTTTCCTGTTGCTGAAAACAACAGCTTTTGAACTGAGTTCCCAGTGGCTGGGTTGGGAGGAAATGGGTAGATTCAGAGATTGCAAAGTCCTTGGCCCGACCCATCTGCTAGTGTCTCTATGACTCTGGAGGGGTACTGTTCACTGGCGTGCTCCTCACTGCTTGCTCAACCTGCTTTCTTATAGAACCCAGGACCCCCTGCCCAGGGCTGGCCTCACCCACATGGGCTAAGCCCTCTCTCATCAATCGCTAATTAAGAAAGTGCCCTACTGTCTTGCCTACAGCCCCATCTTATGGGGGCATTTTCTCAACTGAGGAGTTACTGGCTTGCCCCAGTCCCTGATTCCTCATAGGAACAATCAGAATCATTCATTCTTTTTTTTTTTTTTTTTTAGGTGTGGTAAACGAAATAATATAAGATAACCTCAGCTTATTCCCTAGCAAACATTATACACCAGTTAGATGCCATTTCCTTTTCCTTCCTCTTCACAAATTGAGTTCATGTTGAGCTGAGAAAGGACGGAGGAAAATGTTCTGGTGAAAGGATGTAGCACCAGGACTCTAAAGACCATGGAAAGGTGGGAAGAGCAGAGACGATTTTCTGTTCCTGACCACCCCTCCCCGATTTCTTCGAGGGAGGCTGCAATCCATACACATCCATTTTCTCAGCCCAGTGCCTTCCGTCTACATGTGACGAACACACAGGAACCCTCTTTGTCCCTTAAGCCCTTCCAGAAGCTGAAGTGACTTAGAACTGAGTGATTTGTATAGGACAGCAGGTAGTCCGGGCACCAGACAGAGGGGGTCATTATCCACGTCACGCCCATTTGCTGGCCACGTCAAATCTCCTGGTTTCCAAGGGAATCACCCTGGATCACGGTAAAAATTTTGAGGATTTGTAAAGATAATAGGCCCGGGGCCCCCTTCCTTTTCTGGCAGTGCCGCTGAGAGTGATTTCAGAATACAAGGCCTTGTCCACGTCATTAAATCCAGGCTCAAGACTAAGAAATTAACCAGTACACGGGATTCCAAATTATCAAAACATACTTCTGCTGTCTCTGGCCACCACTGCATAGAGTTCCCTGGCAGATGAGGAGGGTTGAGACTCTGTAATTAACTTGTGTTTGTTGCCACAGACAATCTGGAGCTTGCTGCCTGGCTGCCCCTGAGAAGAGCTTTATTCGGATTAAGTCTAGTGACCACAGAGCACATATCCTTGGCTCGCCGCTCCCCCACACCCAAGGCCTTGTTTCTATCTCGTTTTCAGTAACTTTCAGTCACGCATCTGAGAATAGGCGTGCAGTCTGTCTCCCCGCCCCCGGCAGGTGGCAACAGTTCCGAAAGGAGACAAGTCCTCACAGACCAGTGTCATCTCAGTTCGGGCGTCCTCGTTGTGGTGCACAGTGAGGGTCACACACGGTGCGTGAGAGGATCATGAATGACTAGGAGAAACCTCATCCCCAGGAAAGCCCTATGCAGCCTCTGACTGGGCAAGGCCAGTAAATGTCAGCGAGTATGTGGCTTTGTTTGTTTGCTTGTTTTTGCTTTTGTTTTTGTTTTTTGGTTGCTTGGTTGCTTGGTTGGTTTGGGAATTTTTTTTTGAGACAGGGTCTCACTCACTTTCTAGCCCAAGTTAACTCATGGTGGTCCTCCTGCCTCAACCTACCATGTGTTAGTAGTACAGCTGAAAGCCACCGAACCTTGAGTTTGTGTGAACTTTATACAAAGACAGGTGTCGAATGGGCTTACAATTTGTTGTTGAGAACATGCCTCTGTAGTCTAATGTTTGATCCCTGTGTTCAGAGACTCAACAGGATTGGCGGTGCTGATTTCTTATAAGCGTCATTGTCGTGATCACCATCATTATCATCACTGTCCCCAGCATCATGGTTTTTGGCATTGTGCTGCTTTTTAGTCTTTTAGTAACCAAAAGAGAAGTAAATGAAGATAACATCTAAGGATTGTAAAAGAATATTGAAGAAGCATAAAGTAGCTTAGCTGCCTAGGGCTAGACTTCTGGGGACTGGGCAAGGCAAGGAAGGGTAGACGGGTATTAGAAGTTTTTTGTTGTTTTGGTTTTGGTTTTTTTTTTGTTTTTTTTTTTTTTCAGAATGATGAAAATGTTGTACAATTAGATGGGGCAATGCTTACAAATTTGTTGACTGTCCTAAAAACCACTGAATTAGACAGCTCTAAATGAGTGACTTCTGTGGTATGAGAATTACCTCTCAACAATGCTATTAAGACTTTAGATGAAGAGAGATCAAACAGAATTACAGCACTGAGCTCTTCCTGATTACTTGTTCCAAATTTAAGCAGATCCAAGATTCTCACTGCCAGTCACCTGGAACAAACTCCCCCAGGCGCCACCCCTATCCCCTGAGAAATGTCACTGTGCTGTGGGCAGCTCATCCTGTAAAGGGGCCAGCAGCCATGGGGGTGGCCCATTTGGACCACTTGCTCTCCCTTCGTGTCTGTATGGAGTACTAGGCCCTTGGCTTTGGGTTTTTTGTTGTTGCTGTTGTTATTTTTTTTACACTAACCTTGGTGCTTACGGAAGTTGCTGGTGAGAAGCATGGCTGAAGCTCAACACACAATTATCCATGCTTCCTGGCACGTCCTTTGTGGTAGCATGATTAAAAGTTAAGCTGCACCAGGCTAAGGATGAGGTTCCTGCCCACTGATCATTTCTTTCTCATCATCTTTGGACAAATTGGATTTATGGCTTGAATATGAGTGGTGGTTTATTTGGATTTAAAAAAAAAAAAAAACTTTTCTGTCTTTTTTTTTTTTTTAGTTTGGCAACTAGATCACAATTTAGTGATTTTTGAAACAGTGACACACATGGCACATGTGAAAAGACTGGGTTTGTAGTCATGAGCATAGGTTGTCTTCAGTTCACTCAATTATTAAAAAATAACTGAAGAGTTAAAAGTGTGATAATACCCCACGTGTAACCAAGCTTTGAAAAAAAAGAGTCATCTTATCACTCCAAGATTACAGAGCCAGAGCCAGCCCCATCCTCCCTCTAAAAAAAAAAGAAAGAAAGCTGCAAACAAATACAGAACAGACCGGAAGCAGATGAGCAGATGCGGTACTTGTAATCTTGTCAATGACTGTTTTCCTAGAGTTATAATTTTGGAATGCCCCTCGATAGGCAGTAACTCCCCTGTCTAAGTGTAAAAAGCGAGAGAAGTTTTAATGATTTCAGAGTAAAGCTTCCTTAAAATAGAATCTGACCTTCCCTTGCGTTTTAGACTCAGATGCACTAAGAGAGTTTGACCATAAACATTTAACATCGTAACGGAGCCAGTTCTGTTTACAGAGCCTTAATCCTTGGAGTGCAGAAGGGTTGCACCTATGTGGCACATTATTTTGCTCCTCTGAATACTGACACTGGAGCCCTGGGTGTGCTGGGAATATTGCTTTCCCTAATGGTGGCAGGCTGACCAGCAATTTCAAAACCATGGCTTCATTCTTCTTTCATACAGCTAACCCAGAGGTAGGCAGTTGCTGACACTGAGGTTTCCACAGCTCAAAACATCAGAGCCAAGAATTGTGTGATTCTCCTGTTTCTCCCCTGCCTGAAGAGTGCCACTCCAGCTTCCAGGAATACCATCCACTCTGGGGGTGGGGATAAAAATAAAAATGAGACGGGAGGGGCCGTGCCAGCCTGAATAAAAGCCTCCAAACGTGAGTGCTACCCACCAAACTCAGTCATAGCTCACAGGCCAGAGCTCTGTGCTGGGGAGACTGGGTTCTGGAAACAGCGCACCCGTTCTGAATGGAACAGACTTTTCTAAGTCATTTGTAACATCAGAAGGATTCTCCAAGTACTGCTTACGTCATGTCAGGTATTAGGGACCCGAGAGGAAAGCCTGCAGGCAGTGGGTGCAGGTTACGAGCTGATACTACCCTTTATATAAGGAGTAGGGGCGCCTTAGGCTGTGACCTCCACAGCATGGATGCCCGCAGGTGATAACGGACAACTAGCTGCAGTGGCCTTGGGGGCTTCTACAGTGGGAGGGGTCAAGGAAAAAGCCAGTGCAGCACCGTAAGCAGAAAGCACATCAGGATGGCTGACACGTGTGCACAGTTCATTCCTAGATTGAGTTACACAAGGTAATTCGATCTGATTTGATAAAGCGGTTCCATTCATCTGGTAACCACTGCCAAACTCTCTCAGAAAAGGCTCAGCACATACGCAGCCCATCAGGATGGCATGGTGCTCAGTGGTTAGAGCACTGGCTGCTCTTACAGAGGACCCGGTTCGGTTCCAGCACCCGCAGAGTAGCTCACAGCCATCTGAGATCTGATGCCCTTTTCTGACTTCTTCCAAAACCACACTCACAGAACACAGCGAATTTCTCAGTGGGTCCTGCCAAGACTCAAATGCTTTTTTTTTTTTTTGTATTATCAATGAATGACAGTTGTTTTTCATCCTTAAAATGATCCGTTATTCCAATAATGAACTGTAAAAATTTCAAGTTGCAGTCTCATTGTTTGTCTTCTGAGGTGTCTGTGAAAGGCAGGATTCACCTCACTGGACAGGGACTTTCCAAATCTCTGTATTAACTGCTATTTGTGAGGAGTCATTTGCTTATGCAAACTGCTCAAGACTGGACATCATGTAACAGCTGCAGGGGAGAGTTGCATTGTACATGCTTCGGTTAAAAATGTTAACCAAAGAGCAAATTATTACCTTGAAATTGCTTATTATTTCAGAATTTCAATTTTTTTTTTTAAATCTCAGAAGTGAAAAAGTCAAAACACATTAGCTAACCAACAACACATACCCAATAGACTCCGATCAGTCACTACCATGAAAACATCACCATTGCCATGAAATGTCCTCGTCCTCCCGCCTCCCACCAGGGCTTCTGGCCCTCACTGACCTTCCTTCCTAAGCCCCTATGACTTGGAAGGGATGCCGATCCTTCAGAGGACCCATTTCTGTGGTTGTGTTTTCAGAGTTCCAAGCTGAAAGGTTATCAGAAAAGAGACGTGAAGCTTGGAGGCCTCGGACCCGACTTTGAGTCTGTTAGAGACAAAGTAAGTGGCACGTGGCATTCTCAGCCTTGGTATTCTCGGCCCGTCCTTGGCAATGTGGGGGAAAGATGCCCCCAGCATCACATGCCAGTGCAGCCCTCTGGCACCGAGGAGACACCCACCCCTCAGAAACAGCCGGGCTGACATAATAGAATCCCGGGTACTCCTGCTGCAAAATAAAAAAAAAACAACATTCATAGCCTGTGTTATTTTATGCCCTGCCTTTCAGTTAGGTTTGAAAGCCTCCCCCAGAAGAGTGGGGCCCATGAGTGTGCGAAGGGATGCGTGTGCCGTGTGGTTGGTTGTTGGTCTCCCTGATAGAGTTGTCTTGATAACTTTGAAGTGGCTACAGAGAAGACACTTAGGCCTCCAGTTCTCCAACCCCTAGGAAGTGCATCCACTTTACTCTCTTTCCTCTAGTGAAAGGAGATCTTCATTTAATGTGTTTGAACTGCAGTTGCACTCAGGAATAAAAAGAGTATAGTTCAAAGTTGGAAGCAAAAATGAAAATAAATTGGGTAAATGCAACAAAGAAGAGGCTGAATAGGATTTAGCCACTGTTAAGAGAACGCTGGGAGTGCTGCTACACTCACAGCAGCTTCTCCGGGGAAATGTTAACCAGTTCACTGCTGCCACCTCACACAGGTCACCCTCCTTCTGAGCCAGCCACCCACCCACCTCCATAAAACCAATGTCACTGAAAGAATTAGCAGCGGTCAGCTCACTACACCCCTCTTCTCTGAGCAGATGCAAAAATTGATGCAGCAAAAAGAATATGCAAGGCAAGTCAAGGAAAACAACATGAAGACCCTGTCTGTTCTGTCCAAAGTACAGTCAGAAAAACCTGAGAGTAAATCGGCGATTTCTCGGCAGAAGGTAAGAAGTTCGCATCGGGCATTTATCGCTTCAGTCAGAATCAAAGGGCCACTTTGGTTACCTCCTCGCCTCAGAAGATGTGTTTGGAGCACAGGAGACATTTAACAATAGCTGTTCCTGCACTTAGATGTTATCCACAAATACCGGTGTAAGCACACACATGGGTCAGTATGCTGTCTTAATTTTGTCAGGCATAGAAATAACGAAGTGGTTTCTCAGCAGGAACCTTCGGCCTGAATCAACTATAGGTTTCATTCTCTATCATTAAATAACCTTAAAGGGAATTAGCATCCTCTTACTGTTCACGTCAAACAAATCAATTTCTCATTGTTTAAGTTCATTTCTCTATACTTTTCCAGAGGGATCGTGTGGGTTCCTCTGGTTTAAAAAAAAAAAAAAAAAAAAAAAAGATTTAAAATTTCAGAATGCCCTGCTCTCAGATGCCATGTCACAAAGAAAGAGTCAGGATGTGAATGGAATGTTTGCTGTGGAGACCCTCCGCCGCTTGCTGCCTCCGCTGATTTGGTCGTTGCTGTACAGCCCTGGGGACCCCGGCAGGAGGAAAACGCGATGTACTGGCGCCGTTAGGAGCGTGCGCTGCGTGCTGTCTTTCACCGGCCGTCACATTAATTCTTCCTCAGACCTTGACGACTTCATCTTCCTCACTGAGTGTCCATTTCTTTCTCTCCCCAACCAATTACATTTTCATGAAGATGTCTGCAATGCAGAGCTACTGGGAATTCTCATAGCCTTCTCTTACAGGCATTCAGAATGTGAACCTTTTTCATGTTTTCGGTTTGGGGTTTCTTTTTTCCTTTCTGATACTTAAAAATACTATCCATTCCCATTTCGTATGACAATAAATTCTTATTAAAATACAAAGTTTCAGCTAGGCAGTGTGGTGCACTGCATGCCTTTAATCCCAGCAGTCAGGAGGCTGAGGCAGGTAGATCTCTGTAAATTTAGGGCCAGCCCGGTCTACATTGTGAGTTTCAAGGCAGCCAGAGCTACATAGAGAAACCCTGTCTCAAAAAAAAAAAAGGTGGAGAGGGGGGACTCAAGATAAAATCACTCACTGTTTTCATAGAGAACCCATGGAGTAGCTGTCAACCATCTGTAACTTCAGTTCCAGAGGAACTGAACAGTTCCAATGCTCTCTTCTGACATCTGAGGGCACCGGGCATCTATGTGGTACACAGACATGCAGGCAGGTAAAGCAGTCATACACGTAAATAAATCTAACAATAAAAGCTTAACATGCAGAACTAATATAAATCATCCTTAATTCTCTCTCTTTCTTCCCCTCTTCCCTTCCTCCTCCCCAGCCCCTCCTCAACCCAAACAGAACCCAGAGTCATGTGCATGTAGGCAAAGACTGACTCTGTCATTGAACAGCATCCCTCGTCTGACTGGTCTCATTTTTATCATAACTGAACCTTTAAAGCTTGGCACCAATTTTAAAAAACATACACTTTTTAGTATCTATTCTTTTCCTTCAAAGAACAAATGGATATAATGAGCAGAGTTCAGTTTTCATCAACTACAAGTAATGTCTCCAGTCTCCAATTACAAGTTCTCTCTGGGTAGAAAGGCTTGTATAATTCTTTTAGAAGTTTGGTTTCCAACAAGACTCTCAGAAAGCTGCCAGATTAAGCACATGAGAAATCTGTTCACAGACATTTAAAAGAATCTTTGTCATGGTAAAAACATCCAAATAACACAACAGCTGTCCATATCCCTTTCCAGCTACATTTTGCTCCATGGCATGTTCTTTAGTAACTGACTTATTTCATTTAAATTATGCGTTAATAATGTGTTATCTGCATTTTCCATTTGATTGCCATTTCTGCCCACATTATAGGCACTGTCTTCATCTATATCAGTCTATAACATAAGACTAACTTCTCACTTTAAATGAAGTTTTTCTCTTTTTTTCTCCCCCTTAGGCTTTGGAATATGCTAAGACCATCCCCAAACCCAAACCGCCAAATCTGGTTGACCAAGCAGCAAAGAAGAACAAGAACACGAGGAACAGTAAAAAAGAAGGACTCTTACCAGACATTTCCCTGCTGGAGATCCTGCGGAGCAGGCACGAGCGAGAAAAGCAGGCCGTGGCTGCTTTCAAAGTCCTTCACATTGTCTAGACAGCGTTCGGGGGAGCGGGGGGCATCAAAAATGTGATCAAAGGAACACAGAGGGAAAAAAAAAAAACTAACAATTCCGTCTACACTGAGCGGTGACCTGGCATGGTCAACTGCCTGCCTGCCACCCTTGCCTGCCCTATGCAAAAGTTAAAGTGGGGCCCAGTCGGCACTGGTGGCAGGTTTAACCTTCTGGAAAGAAAAATGCATGGAATTATTTATGTTTCAAATCTGTTAGAATTTGGGCCGGTAAAAGGCTAGACAATAAAGCCTTCAGTTTTATATTGGATCCTCTGATTTGTTTAAACCACCTCTGGCCCTTCTTTACACATGATGGAAATTTACAAGTACTGCCGAGTAAATTTGTCTCCTTGTCTTTCTCCAACTCCCCTGAGACAGAGTATACGTACTTCAGTTTTTCCTAAAATGAGTTTGGCTGACCTCGTCACTGAGGTAACATATCCAAAATAATACTTTCGCTTTCAAGTTTCAAAAATGCCTTACATGGAAAGCTGAAAAGCTGAAGATACAGCTAGACGTGCATATTGAAATAGGAAAAAATAATCCTAATTCCATTCCAACAGGGCACTCAGACTAAGGCATTAATCACGCATCCCACAAGTGTAGGGAAACCCACCTCAGATCACTCTATGGTCAAAGCCACTGACCTCACGTCTGTCAATTTACTGAGCTTCTTTCCATGATTGTGGTTATCTTGAAATGTTATCAAATCCATGTGCTTCAGAGTTTATGAATGTAAATATTCATACTCAATTTTTATTGTTCTCTTTTGAAGCATTACTGAGATTCTCAGTGTTAAAAGTATGAAAGAGCCAGGAGTGGTCGCATGTGTTTGTAATCTCAGCACGCGGGAAGTTGAGGCAGAGAGGGTGGGGTGTACGTCAAGGTGGAGGCTGGTGATAAATAGTGATGGTCTGCCTCAAAACAACAACAACAGGTCTACTAAAGGAGTCACATTTTACCTCCCTGCTGGACATTTCATCCTTTGATGAGTATGTCCAGAAATGGGTCATTTTAACAACCTGGAGCAAATCTATGCATGTGGCATGTGGATTAGCTTTGGAAATTCACTTTAATGCCAGGCAGTGGTGGCACACGCTTTTAATCCCAGCACTTGGGAGGTAGAGGCAGGCCAGTCTCTTAGTTCCAGGGCAGCCAAGGCTACACAGAGAAACCCTGTCTCAAAAAAAAAAAAAAAAAAAAAAAAAGAAATCGACCTTGAAGTTGTTTGTGTGCTACATGTGTCATGATAGGTACAGCGCTGCCTGCATGAAGCCTCCTCTTAAAGCGGAAAGTAGAGCTGATGGTCAAGAAATCCATTTGTTTGTGGACGAGGCATGTTATTATGGATGCCAAATCTACCACCTCCACATTTACCTTCAAAAGCCCATGCTCAGCTGGAGCAGGTGAAGTGAGTTGGCAGACTGCAAATGCCATCTGACAGGATTCCCCAAGACCAGGCTTTACCACCCAGCACATAAGACCCCAGGACAGTGGTTCACAACCTGTGGATCCTGACCCCCCTGGAGTTGTGTATCTGATATCCTTCATATCAAGTATTTACATTATAATTCATAACAGTAGCAAAGTTACAGTTATGAAGTAACAACAAAATAATTTTATGGTCAGGGGTCACCCCAACATGAGGAACTGAATTAAAGGGTCTAAGCAATAGGAAGGTTGAGATCCACTGTCCTAGGACATCAGAATTCCTTACTCAGAGCCTACAGAAATAAAATAGTTGCTCTAAGTTTGAGGTTGAAGTCAAAGAATGAATCCTATGGGCCTTCCTGTGTCCTCAAACCATCCCACAGTGCCCACATCCAGTGCGATGTCACTAAGCTACCATGGTCCAGACACAGAGGAGCCAGTACAGTGAAGGACAAATGCTTTTATATCCTTTACATTGCACGATATTAATTTCATAAACCTAAGTGATTATTTTTATAACATTTGTTTCAGGAACTCAAAAAAAAAAAAAAAAAGAGAACTGCCCATTGGAAGGCAGCCATGTGCGCCACACCTGGCAGCCTGAGCTCAACCCCTGACGCCCAAGGTGGAAGGAAATTGACTCCTGAATGTTGCCCTCTGACCACATGTATGTTAGGACATGAGTGTACACACACACACACACACACACACACACACACACACACATACACACACACTGAGTAAATAAACAAACTGAAAATACCATAACCTAGGAAATCCTTGAGTTTTGAAAAAACAAGGCAGTTGGTTACTAGAATGAAAGAACAGAATCAAGGAAGGAAGAAAGGAAGCAGGCAAGAAAACGAAGGAAGGAAGGAAGGAAGGAAGGAGGGAGGGAGGGAGGGAGGGAGGGAAGGAAGGAAGGAAGGAAGGAAGGAAGGAAGGAAGGAAGGAAGGAGGCAAGAAAACAAAGAAGGAAGGAAGGAGGCAAGAAAACAAGGAAGGAAGGAAGGAAGGAAGGAAGGAAGGAAGGAAGGAAGGAAGGAAGGAAGGAAGGAAGGAAGGAAGGAAGAAGTTCAGACTTGAGTAACATCATGAGGAAGGCGGCAAGGGGTTTGGGAAGGAGGATGCATTTGACCAGATGTTATATGAGCATATGAAAGGCATAGGATAATTTTGCCTGGTCTCTGTGAGCTGGTTCAGATAAAGGCCCTTTAAGTCATGCATTCTCCCCATTACAGCCTTCTTTTTCTTTTTACAGTGCTTTTTCCATCTTAAGTTTCAACAAGAGCATCCTCTTACATGGAGTCTTTTTTTTTTTTTTTTTTTTTTTTTACAAGTAGCTGAATTTAATGACAGCTGTCTTCTTGATATTGTTTTGTGTAGTAAGGAGTCTCTTGGGTCTTATCCAGGAACCAAGTCAAGAAAAGACAATATTGAGGAGCAAAATGAAAGGTAAGCCTTGCAAAGGCAATGATGCCTAATGGGTCCAATTGGGGCTTATTATTGGTTAATGAATCATTGTCAAAACATCACAGCAAGCACGAGCGTGCACAGTCTCATCTACAGTGAGAAAGTGTCTCTTCATCCCAACAGTTATTAACTGGGAGTTGTCTGAAAACACGTTCAGTAATTACAACAACACTGGAGCTAATTGAGAACTTTGAGTTGACAGCAAACAGCCGACAACCGCAGACTCGGTCAACTCAGGCGGGGTTTCTTTTCTAATTACTTACTGAAAAATAGCAGGGAAGGAAATTGAATTTGGGTGTCAGTCTGCAGATACCAAGTTTAGCTAAATCTCCCTAAGTTGTTATTTGTATATACATACATATCATGTACATAATCATTATATATAAAATTATGACATTAGAAGTAGCCTTTGAAAACAGGAACTTTTTAAAGAAACAAGTTACAATTGCTATCCCCGGTATCGTCTTTTTAGTATAACTGTTACCTAGTGTGGCGAAAGCATAGATATATGCACTTCAGCCAACACACAGGTGTTCAGAGGCACGGGGCATCTCGTCTCTAGGGCGCGGTATGGTTTTGTAGTTTCTGTTTCCAGTGTGCGGAAACACACAGAGAAATGCAAGTGCTCCATCTGCCTCTCCTGTTATTTTCCCAGGAAGGAAAGGATTGAAAACTGTACCAACAAAGTGAAGTCTCTGCTTTGGGGCAGATTTTGTTGCTCCACGGTGCTCACTCTACACCAGTGATTATAAGAAGTTGTCTATAACATCAAAGAAAACAAAACTATTTCTATACTATAAAGGGAAAATTAAGGGGAAACGTGTACTCTTTGTAAAGTTACGTTTAAAGAGAAAAAAAAAAAGAGTTACATTTAGGGCCAGGGAAGATGGCTCAGTTCCTAAATTGAGGTCTGAGTTTGGATCCCCAGGACCCACACACCAGTAAGCCTGGCACTGTCATGTGACAGAGCCCTGGAGGTCAACAGCCAGCCAGTCCGGCAGAGTCAAAGAGCTCCATGGTCAACGAGAAACAAGAGCAACTGAAGAAGATACCCAACATCCACCCTTGACCTTCACCAAACACACACACACACACACACACACACACCTGCCAGCACACTCAAAGTTATAGTTAGTTTATTCCACTTTTAAAATACTGAGAGTCACTCAACATGGTTGAAAGCCAGTGGTATTCAGAACTGTCCCCTTACCCGCTGCTTCCACGCTGAATATAATGTCCATTTCTACTCAGTGGCTTCCTTAAGTTAGAGCTTATATGCTTCTCACAGAGGGCCTGAAAAAACACAAATACCAATTTCTCAAGCAAATGGCTTTTGTTGCCAGATTTCTCATCTATTCACTTCATTCTCAAAATCATACCAGTTTGAAACACCCACAAACTTCACTGTTGATGACTTAATTTCACTCAGTAAAATAACTGGAAAGCCGGGGCTTCCCAAAATATTATAAAAAAATTACCTTATAAAACTCAGTAAGATGTGAAATAAATATATATATATTTTTTTTTAATTTCAGTTCTCTATCTAGCAATAGAGTGCTCTTTAGAAAATCTGAAGAGAGGGAAAAAGAGAATTTGGTGGATAGGCTTGTGTCTCTTGTTGCCTCTCTATTACCTTTTTATTTCCCCCTTGGAAACCTGGGTCACATAAGTAATTAATTTTCAATAAGCTGGATAAATGATCTTTGCTATTACATCGCTCTAACAGGTTACAGAGAGGGTTACAGCAATGTGAGAATTCTAGGCAGATTTATTTAGTAAGGTCTTGGCATTTCTCCTAAGACTTTTTATACCATCTTTTATTGGAATGCTAATCCGTAGAGATCAACCTTGGTCATGGGACTGCTGGCCTGACTTTTAGTTGATCTTTTGTTGTTATAGTCCCAAACTCTGTGTGAATTTGTGTATCCACATCCATGCTCACGTGCAAGATGCTAGAACAAGACAATGAGTGTCTTTCTCAGTTGCTTTTCACCTTGTTGCCTTGAGTCAGGGTATCTCACCGAACCAGAAGCTCATAAATGTTTTGGCTAATGTTTTGCTTAGCCAGTAAGATCTCTAGGGGAGCTACCTGTTTCCACTCCCTAATGCTGAGGTCACAGGCACAGGCAGCCATGCCTGGCTCTTTATGTGGGTACTGGAGATTTGAACTCAAGTCCTCATGCTTGCAGAGCAACTGCTTTTGTCCACCAAGCCATATCCCCAACTCTGGGTCCCAAGTTTGCACCCATACTCTGAATGTGAAAGTAGGAGAGAAGGAAAGAAGAAGAAGAAGAAGAAGAAGAAGAAGAAGAAGAAGAAGAAGAA